CATAAGCCTTAATTCAAGAAAACCCCACCACTCCAAAAACACCCACCACCCATAAAAAAACCAGCCCAAGAACACCGCAAATTCTTCAAACAACAAAACACCACCAACCAAAACTTAGCCAAGCCCCAAAACCCCACCGCAAAACAAAAACAAACACGCACGCACACACCCCAAAGCAGCCCAAAAACCATGCCCCAACAATGCCGCCCCAAAAACTTAAGACCACGGCCCCAAAAGCCCCACTACCGAAACATCCAGAAAACACACCCCAAATTCCATCCCGAAACCATCCCAAAAAATCCACCCAAACAAAGCCACCCCAAAAAACCAACCATCGAAACAATCGCAAACCCCACGCGAGTGGACCACGCCCTTCCTGAAGCGTAGGTGTTATAGTTTTTCGGTGTTTGCAAGCGTTTTACCCGTAACGCTGTGCCCTACCATTCAACCCTATACAGAAAGCCTGATGCACCGAAACCCTTCAGTCCAGCGCCCTAGAGATTTCTAAGGTCTTGTGTCAATATGTTTATGGTCGTGGTGTTTGATTTTGTGAGCATGTGAATTTTGGGAAATATGTTGGCCCTACTATGCTGACAGGCCCATGACCCCAACCGTCGCCCAAATACCCCTCACGATAATCAGTAACTACGACTTGCTTTGCATGACACTTTCCTTCACAATTGGAATAAGTGATCATATCGCTTGCGATTGCCACTTTATTTCTTTTTGTGATGGAAGGAAAGATATTGATTTGAAATCAAGTTGTTTTTCCGGAAGTGCATGCATGAAGTCGTTTTTGTCTCCGAAGTTCAGGCTCGATTGGAGCCGTAAACGAAAGATTTTTCCCGCCCACCCACCCTGGGGTAGATGCGGGTGCGATGGTATGAAGCCTTGTGTCGCTGCTGGTGACCATGTGCTCATGCTTCGCTTTATGGATTGTCATTCAAGAAAACCGTTTCGACCCCATTGCCCTCTTCGGAGGAAAAAAGAAGGATGCGTCTCCAGTGTTGCGCGGATTGTATGGAAATCAATATTGGATTTAATGAAGAGCTTTTCAGAATATATTTTTATATCAGGAGATATATATACTACGACTTGCTTTGCATGACACTTTCCTTCACAATTGGAATAACCATATTTTCTTCGCTTGAAAGCCCCTGAAGCGTTTTCGTGTGGCAGTCTCTTTCTTGTGGAAGCCTCTGGAACGGCTGCAGAAAGGTCTGTCGGAGAAGACGTGCGATTCAACATTGGCTTTTTGTAGGCGGGAGTTTGTCTTTTTGACAAAAGCGGGGGGCGCCCCTCCCCCCTGCCTTGCCCCGCTCCACAAGCCTTGGGGTCGAGGTTTGATGTGTGATTAAGTGATCATATCGCTTGCGATTGCCACTTTATTTCTTTTTGTGATGGAAGGAAAAATTATTGATTTGAAATCAAGTTGTTTTTCCGGAAGTGCATGCATGAAGTCGTTTTTGTCTCCGAAGTTCAGGCTCGATTGGAGCCGTGAAGGAAAGATTTTCCGTAGCCATTTTGGCTCAAGTTTTGCTTTTTGCGCCGGGTTGCATCGAGCTCATGTCACTTGCAGGCCTTAAGGCACGGCTCGAGGCTTTTGAGGACGAGACTCTTGAGGCTCTTTCTCAGATTCATCGGCGCATCGATTACTTGTCAGCTAAGCTACACGACTTCTGGGCCCAGCACTGTGCGTTGGCCCGCCGGGTCACCCAGGTTGAGGGGTTGCCAGAGGACACTGATCGGGCGGCACCGCCCGTCCTGGATCTCCACTCGTTGGACTAGATACATCCGGCTGTGTGCCACTTTTTCTGCACGATGTCCAGTTCTTCCAGTGGGCTAGCTTCCGGGGCATCGTTCAGAGGTTTGCTGTCGCGTGCTTTTCAAACTTCAAGAACCACTGCTGTTGGAGATGTTCGACTGCCGTGGGAAGTTGGTGTCTGGGGCGAGATTTTTGGAGAGCGTGATGATGTGCTTCGTGACGCTCAGTTTGTATGCCCTGAGGTCCCGCATGACTTTCGGTCTGAGGGTGATGGTGCTCCGGAGGTTAAGAAGAGACGTACGGAGTGCTCTGACTGGAAGGCTGGGGCCATAGCTTTCAAAGTCGTCCGCCGCAAAGCAGACGTGTCATGGGAGGATCAACGTTCTAAAGAGCACGACAGGGCCTTGGCACGTTGGCTTCTTGTTATTTCGAGGTGGGATGATTGCTGGCCTGACTTGGAAATTGTCAAGGCCATGGCTTCCATATCGGATAATGAGGGGCGGAAGGATTCTCTTCTTGATTGGTTGCATCCGCGAGCCCCTGCAACTTTGATTAAGAGGGTCAACAGCATTCTGCTTTATCACAAGGAGGTGGGCTGGGGGCAGGAGGTGGTGCCCTACCGCGAACACTCAGTCTACTGTTATATGCGGGATGCCAAGGCGGGCGGGGCTAAACCTTCGCAGCTCGCTTCTTTGAGGGAAGCTTTGATCTTTGTGCGGTTTGTCTTTGATGTGCCGAGCTTGGATCCCATCGTGAAGAGTCGCCGGATTTTGGGCATCACCCGGCGTGGAGCCAAGCGAGGGAGGACAAAGGCCCATCCATTGCGGGTTTGTGATTTGGAGGTGTTGCATAGACTTCTTGAGTCTGCTGATTCGGTGTGGGACAAGCTGTTCTCAGGGGCGTGCCTTGCATGCCTGTACATGCGCGCTCGTTGGAGCGACTTCCAACACACCTGTGCTTTCAGCATCGACTACAGCGAGGAGCATGAGCCTGTGTATTTGGAGTTCCGTGCAGAGGTATTTAAAACTATGAATGCCAAGTTCTTCGATGGTGAACCGATGATTTGGGTCGCACCTGCTCAGGGTATCTACAGGCACAACTGGGTGAAGCTCTGGATGCAGGTCAGGCAAGAACCCGAGCTTGAATCATGTCAGCCTCCATTGCCTGTACCCCGCGAGGGAGGTGGAGCGACTGCAGGGGCAGTCCTGACAGGCGAAATTACGGCTTGGTTGCAGCGTGTACTTCCAGGGCGCGATGGGCTCAGGACGACTGCTCACTCACTCAAGCGGACTTGTTTGTCGTGGGCGAACAAGAGGGGCTTTGATCCACGGGATAAGCTCATTTTGGGTGGCCATGCGCATGATGCTTCAATGGTTGATCGTTACGGGGATGATTTCGCGGCAAGGCCGCTTCGCCTCCTGGAGAGTCTCCTTGCGGAGATTCGTTCGGGGGCCTTTCGACCAGATGCTTCAAGGGCTGGGCGTTTGGCAGCTGTACCTGGTGAATCAGAGTTGCGTGACAGTATTCCGGGGTCTTGGGCCGAGGTTTCTGATCCTGTATCTGCTTTTGAGCCAGATGAGGAGTGTGACGAGGACGCTGCATCCCCCAACTCCCCGGACACTGGTAATCTTAATGCCGAGGAGGCGCATGCTGGTTCGGGAGTGGACATGACCGATGTACCTCCAGTGGAGCCTGCTTCTTCAAGTTCTTCCAGCTCGTCCGACGATGATAGTGAATCGTCTCGTGAGGTGGTCTCAGAGACGGAGGCGATTCGCGCCGACTTCAGGATTGGAATTCCAGTACCTCCGGTAGGGTGTAGCTTCGTACAGCACAAGGTTTCCCGCATGTTGCACTATCGGAACCTTGACTATAACAAAGTTTTGGTGTGTGGCCGTAGCATCACGGATGTGTACCAACCTCCGGGATTGATCCGTTTTGACTCGTCTGTGTGTCGCACTTGCAAGTGCAGGGCGATTGCAGATGGACTGTAAAGGTTCGATTGTTTCCTGTCACAGATCACCCAGGCCCAACCGAACTGGGACATGCATTTTGCGACGATCGTAGGATCGTCTTATGTGGATTGGAGACTTGTGTTTTGTACAAGGCGGCACATTGTGAGTGTTTCCAGGATGGAGTCTTGGAGACATGCATTCTTGTGCTGCCGATTTGGTGCTTGTCGGGTCTAAATAATTGCCGCGCGGAGTGTTTCTTTCTTGCTTGTGCGAAGGAACTCTAACACTTCTCAGGATTTTGGCTGCGACCCGATATCTTCTGCCGCCATGGCGCTCGTGGACAGCGAAGCCGCCTTTGCACAGAGGTGCAAAGAAGTGGACGCCGAGGGCTTGCGTGGGTAGCTGGCGGCGCAGGGATTAACAACCTTCGCTAAACTCGCTTACGCCTGCGGCACACCTCAAGAGAAGCCGACCTCGGCCGAGTTCGAAGCTTTCACAGGCCGTGTTCTTGGGGCTGCACCACGCCTTGGGGACGTCAGTTTACTGAAACGCTTAATGTTCGAAGCTGCTACCTTTGTGATCGCACAGCTCAAACAAGCTGTGCAATCGGAGTCGACCGAAGCTCCTCGGCGTCTCCCCTGCCGCGGAAAAGGCGGCTCGCGAGGTGGAGCAGCGAAATCGCCTTGCCGGCGTCAATACCGAGCGAGAACTCGTACCGTCACATGCACTCATAGATTTGTGTCATCACATGGTGGAGCTCAATTCTATCACGTGGATATCTCCGAGCAAATGTACCAGCCGCGAATCGGAGATCCAGCTCTCCACCCGTGATCAATCTAAGGTTTTCAAGTTGGAGGATCATACGCTTAAGGTTTCATCCGAGGCGCACAAGGATGAGGCCGATTACTCCTCGTCTCTGAAGTTGCAGTGGTGCCTTCAGCGCCGCGGCCTTGCGTTGGATCAGTGCAAGCTCATGTCTTGGTCTGCGCGCGAGAAATGGGTGCGCACTCTTTTGCAGTCCATGACCCGTGACTGCCCGGCTGATTTCACTCGTCCTAACCTAGCCCAGATTGTGCAGGCTGATCGTGAGGCCTTTCTCATCATGGCTGCTGAGGTGCGTGATTTGCGGCCCAATGTGGACGGGTCATTCCCAATGTCTGTTGCATTGGAGGCCTTGCGGACTGACCCTCGCATTACCATGTTCTTGATGGCTATGCCCTTCAAACGGTCCGTGGCTGTAGATGCTGATCGGCCCCCGACTCCACCGGGTGCTGCTGCTGCTGCAAAGACACGGTCTGCCAAGCGTCGTGAACGGGAAAAGCGTCGTCGTGAGGCCGAGGCGGCTAAGCGGACGGGCGCTGATCCGCCTCGACGTGCTGACCCGCCTAACAAAGGTGCCCGCTTGACCCCTCCCGCCGAGCTGGCATCATGTCATCAAAAGACCGTTGACGGCAAACCCATTTGCTGGTCGCACAACTTGAAGGACGGTTGCAAGGCTCAGACGTCGGGTTCGCCCCCCGCTTGCTCTCGCGGTGTTCATGTTTGTGCGTTCTGTCGGAAGCCGGGTCATAGCTTCCAGAACTGCCGTGCACGCAATTGGAAGGGATCCAAGGCTGAGTGACTCTCGGTGCAGGCTGAGGCACTGGATGGTGTGCGGCCATTTGCCAAAATTCTCTTTTTTCCTGCTGTGCCCGACGCTGCTGACCGCTTCCCGTGTGAAACGGAGGCCGAGTCACTGGCCGTCACTTGTTTCTTGGATGGGCGCATCAATTATGAGCAGTTGCGTCTCTTGATAGAGACGCTTCCGGGGGAGAAGCCCGCGCGTGCTTCGGGTCAACCTGTGCCCGTGGGCGAACCTGCCAAATCTTTTACAACCGGGGCGTATGTGTATAGTGATGTTTGTGGCCTGCGCGCCAACGCCCGCTGCTTTCCAGCGACTTCTATGTTGCTTGCATCCATTGTTTCTGCAATTTTCCCTCATGCATCTTTCAGTGCCATCGCGCTTTTTCGGAACATCTCTACACCGTTGCATTCTGACGAGAACAATGAACTTGGATGTGACAACTTGTTGATTCCTTGTTCTCATTTCGAGAATGGTCAGGTCTGGATTGAGGGGCCCGGCTCCGTACCTTGCCTTCTCGACTCGACTCTTACTGGTTCGTTGCTTGAGACGGCTGGTGGGCCCACTCAGTTCAATGCACGACTCCGGCATGCCACTTGTGGCTGGACTGGGCTGCGACTGATGCTTGTGGCCTTCCAAGTGCGTAACATTCGTACACTTCCCGCTGATGACCGGGACACGCTGTGCCGTTTGGCCTTTCGGCCATGCCGCGTTGCGCCCAAGCATCCTTCGGCGTGCGCTAGCCTGGAGTCGACTTCTGACTCGTGTGCTGGCCAGCCGTCAACCGACATCATGATGTGCACAGACTCCCCTTCGTCACCAGGTTCTGTCAACCCTGCGTCTTCTACTGACCAGTGCGTTGATGTGCCTGTGCTGGCGTCTTCCAGAGACGATTGCATGCAAGATGTCTTTCCTGTCCGCAGGTCACCCTTGGTCATCGAGGT